CTGTCTCTCACTTACCAAGAATGCGGCCTGAAAATATTTCTCATGAATAATATAGCTCAAACTTTGAGTCAAAGATAGATACAACTTCAAAAGAAAATTACTATTTTGCAATTTTTATTGAGACAGGGGTCAGATGTAGATCTAGCAATTTCTGTATTTCAAGTAAGAAGATTGAAAATGTATATTGTATAACCAATTTCACATGCGAGATGGGATGAAACTGACAATACAATATATAAATTTCAATGTTTTCCTCCTCTCTTGTTTGTCGCACCTACTTGCTGGAGATTGGACAGTACAGCGGACATGGCTTACTCCTCTTCTTCCTTTGTTTTCAGTATATTATCGGTTTGGTTCAGTAGCCTACTTGACAACCTTTCAGTTTATAGTATAAACCCTATCCGTACGTTGTGTTTTACTATCAGATCTGTACGACGTGGGGAACTCTGTGCCACCACTTTCCAAACAGGAAATTTACTCGTTAATCCGATCCGTACGCTTTGCATAGCAGTCTGTCAAAATGATTTTTTTGAGAAATACTGAAAGTTTTAAAGAAATCTTCGCTCTAGAAGTATTCTAACATGTGAAGAATACAACCCCGGGGGTACAAAATGACGGATAGTGTTAACCTTAAGAAGCTAAAGTTTTCGTACTGCTCACCCACATAATATACATGTCATGTTTTTTTATTTCTAAGTGGGGCTTTAAAGAATACTTGTCACCATCACCCACCAAATTCATTAAATCGACCACAGGCCATATCGCCGAAGTTGGCAAGCCCCTGTCCATCTCTTTCCTGACTTTAGATTTAGATTACAGTTATTGCGTTGGTTCGTAATTCTTATCTCAAATCTAATGTAACTCTTTTCAATCAAAAGAGACAAGTGCTGTAAGTGAAAGCGGCTCTTTGTTTGGGCCTGGCCTCGTGAAAACTGCGTGAGAAAAGAAAAGGTCATCCATATATATATATACGAGGATAGTTTGCCTTACCGGGGGAAAAAGAGAGAGTGGCTTCTTCCTGAATCCAAACCCAACAACTTCCAGTCCAGGGGTCAAAAGCACAGATATGGCAAACGAGGTCAAGTGCCATCTCAGTTATGAGGCTTTAAGTGCTGTAAGAGCACTAGACAACCGTGCCTTTGGCGAGCTGTCCACTTAAGGTTGAGCAAAGGCAATAATACAATAATAATTGTAATATAAACACTGAGAAAAAGGCGATGTCCAGAGGAAGACTCGAGTTTCCAAGGTTCTTTTTTCATATATA